TGTGTGTGTGTGTGTGTGTGTGTGTGTGTGTGTGTGTGTGTGTGTGTTGCTCCTTCAGAACAAACTGAAGAAGATAAAAGAAAAGTACAAAGACCAGGATGAGGAGGACAGGGAGCTGATGATGCAGCTGCTTGGGGTGAGGATGAGAAACACACAGTTGTTACTGTACTCGCTGACATTGCCATGACAACACCTGCTGAATTTTCATTGTTGCAGTTTTGAGTTGTACAATGTAACATCCTCCCTCCTTTAGTCCGCCGGTTCTGCTAAGGAGGAGAAGGATAAAGGGAAGAAAGGAAAGAAGGGGAAAGGTAAAGACGAACCCATAAAGAAACCGCCGCCTCCGAAACAACCTCAGAAACCTCGTAACACGGAAACGGCTGCAAAGAAACCAGAGCAGGCGGGAGGAGAGGAGGGCGGGGACGACAGGCAGCGCGGAGAGGAGGGAGGTCCTGCTGAACAGGAAGACAAGGTAGATGACAGCGCTGCACACTGACCTGTACACGTTACCTGCCAGAGACACATTTTGAAATTGTGCCTCCGTCGCTTTTCAGTTTGGATTTCGTATAAAATGTCATGTATAAAATTGTTGCTGGTCTTTGCTGAGTGGACTTCATCTGCCAGCTTTGTGCTCCCTGTTGCATCTGTATTTTAGTGCATCTTCATATCTATGCTGTCCTTTCTTTCAGGAGGACGAGGCAGACCAGGACAACCCTGGAGCTGAGGTGGGTTCTTTAAGTAAAACCGTAACAGCAGATAAATCGAGTCTTTATCAGAAAGACATTTATTCTTTTTCCAACATCCTCGGTTACTTTCAATCCTTTATTTCTGTTTTCCCAGGAAGCAGAGACTCTGCTCACCTCTCTGTCAGGGCAGCCCCATCCTGAGGACGTGCTGCTGTTTGCTGTCCCCGTCTGTGCGCCGTACACCGCCCTCTCCAACTACAAGTATGTGCAATGAAACCTTTGAGCGTGTAGCAGTGTGAAGAGCGCACCGGCTAACTTGAATTTGTTTTCCACAGACACAAGGTTAAACTGACACCAGGTTCTCAGAAGAAAGGAAAAGGTAACAAGTGATGATCTATTCTCTGTACTTTTCGAGTGAACTTGTGCTTGTAGAAATAACAGTTGTGCTATTTTCTTCGGACCAGCTGCACGTACGGCTGTTCTGAGCTTCATGAAAGCCAAAGAGGCCTCAACCAGAGAAAAGGACCTGTTCCGCAGCGTCAAGGTAAAAACGGCGACTGTGTTTTAGTGATCTGTTTAAAGTAACTCCAGATTCATTTGTAAGGTTGAACTCATGCTTAGTTACATCAAGAGTTGATTTACAGCAATTAGACAAATCAAATAAGTGATTTATTAAGAACGATAAACATGCAGTATCTGGATTAGCTTGTTTTATATATTATATCTTTTAGATTTTGACTTTAAAACAAAAAAGGTTGTATATGTCATCACCTTGAGCTCTGTGAAGCTGCGTGTTTTTATAGAAATAAATGTATTAATGGTAATGCTGTATAGTCAACCAGGAAAGGCAAAACAAGGGCAAGGAGCATCTGTTTCGAAAAACAAAGTCTGAAAAAACTTTATCGACGAGGCTGAGGCAAGACAAAGATTTAAAAAAATGCACATAAGCATTGTGGCACACTGATAGTCATCCATAGTGAGTCTTTTTTCTGCAGCAATAGTGCTTTGTGTTAATTATCACTAGTCATTGGTTTCAGTATTAATCATAGTCGCTTTAGCTTTCTTGCAATTCAAACTCAATCCTTCTGTGCTGCAGGACTCGGACCTCTTCAGGAACATGCCTGGGAAAGTTAAAGTGTCTGCTCCAAACCTGTTGGCTGCTAAGAAGAAATGAGAGGTGAACAGACGTGATGAGGTTTCAAGTATTTCATCGACACAGAACTTCACACTTTGACTTATTTCAGTAAAACTCTGCCGACATCATCAGTGTGAGGGTTTACTGGTTAAAATCTGCAGTGACCTTGTTTCAATATGAATAATTTTATTTTTTAAATTGATTGTATTTGTTGCCCAACAATGTTTGAAATGAAAACCTGTAAATTAACAAAGATGAGTAACAGAAACCAACCTTTTGTGTTTATTTCTTTGAATACAAAGTTAACACTCTTCATTTAAACCTACAATAAAAAAAAAACACACACACACACAAAGGGAACATTGTGCAAACTGGGCGAATACACAGCCCTACTGACAAGAGGCATTTCAGTGCAACGTGGCGAAACATCCACTGTACGTTCAGTATTTAAGTTATTGATTTTAATAAGATTCAACGCTACAGGAGCCACTTGATTGACAGGCTTTGAAAAGCCATTTTCAGAACACAGAACCAACACACTTCCTCACAATTATATAAATAGCTGTATATACAAATAGAAACTAAAAGTTAACACCCAGAGTAGATGAGCTTGTGTTGCACAAAGCAGTAGTTTTAGGTCTGTAAGTACTGAACACTGTGCCAGACATTAGTTTTAGGAATCATTTAAAAAAAAAAAAAAAAAAAAAAATACTCAAAGCAAAACTGTTTCATTGTTTGCGCCACAGAAAGTAGTGTTTAGACAATGGAGCCTTTTTAATTGGCTTCAGAGAAAGACCAGTGAAAGTCACTGTTTTAAAATTGGACCGGCTGTGTTGTTTATATAAAGAATCAGGTTCTCAGGTGAACTGCAACATGCACGTTGACTTTCAGGAGAACGTTTCTGAACCAAAGCTGAAGTTCTGCCTCTTACAAACTATATTTTTCTTCACTCTGTCAGAACAATGCATTTTACTCTTTCTCCCAGTGATCTTTCTGAAAACATTCAAACATGAGTCGTTTTCTGTCCGTATTATTAGATAAAATTATCTTCTACTACAAAGCCTGACTGACTTATCATTTGGCCAATATGAGCCTTATAGACACATCAGTATCTGCGTTTGTTAGATGAAAACTTTAGTTTAACTGAATGCAGAAAAGATGTTTATATTTTATATAAATTTGCTCTTTCTTTTTAATTAGTTATTTATAATCATGTTTATGGTCAAACAAGCTGTAGTTAAATTTCTTTGTTAGAATCTTGGGAATCATTGCTCATCTTTTCAAATCTATATCCGCCAAAATATTGGATTTTTTTCTCTCCCAAATATCAGTATCACCCTCAAAAATCTCAATCAGGCTAAAAACATTATTTCAAAATAAAAACATGATTTTTCTTAATATTCAACACCAACACCTCTGTATAAAAATGGTCGTTGTAGTGGTTAGCTACAATGGGATGATCTTTTTAACATTTACTCATCCACTACAGTAGTAGAGACACTTATGTAATAATATGGACAGAATATTAAGTCAATATTTAGCCTCTTGTTGAAGTGATGAAATGTTGACGACCACAGAAAACAGAACAGTTCATGCTGCACTGAACGTCACCAGCTCTGCTCCTCCAGTGACGGTTCTACTGGCTTCATGAGAGTTACAGGACAATAAACAGAAGAAGCTCAGACCTGTGAAACCTTAGTGTGCAAGTCCACAGCTGCTCACTATTGCTTTAAGATTTAGTTTCATGTACGCAAGTATCCAAACACACATTAAACTAATGTTCAGGTAGGACTACCTGCTTTGAAAGAAACAAGCATCTCTTCCATACATACATACACTTCCTCTTGTAATGCTCTGGATTCGATTGTCAGCCTCCTCTTCCTCTAAGAGCCCAGTGTGTTGACGCGTGCCATTCTCTGTTTGAGGCTGTGCAGGATGGGTTTAGGCAGACAGTCCCAGTAACTAGATAAACGCTCCCTGTGCTGCAGAATGGCCTCCATACAGAACCTGCAGAGGGGGGGGGGATGTGCATGTGAGCAAGAAACAATGATCAGTTTCAGATATTTAAAATGTTGTAGAGTATTGTTTTTGTTCTGTACGAACTCACCCAACTAGCGATTTGGGTTGAACATTGAAAACCAGCAGCTCGTTGCTGTGAGCCTGTCGAGTGAAAATCAAGAGGTTAGAAGGACAAAACGTGAATAAACAGAGTTATTTGAAGAGTAAATTGCTTACAGCTCTGTGATGAGACAACAGGTTGTTGGCACAACCTCCAAACACAAACACCTCCCCATCAGGACCTGAGCATGCCGTGTGCCACAGCCTGAAACAAACACAATATACATTCAGTACTTCACATTCTCACAAACACACAGCCACATGAATGCAGTCAAGAGGAGGTCATCACCTGGGACTTTGTGCGTGATTGTGTTTGAAAGGCTTCCATTCGTTCTTGCTCACAGAGTACAGCCAAGCGTCACCTGAAAATCAAGAGATGAGCGGCTCAGTGAGATCAGGCATCGTTTTCAGGAAATCATTATTATCTCCCTACTGAAAGTCGAGAGTGAGATTTTACTCAGTGTCTCTCTCTCTGTGGTGAAGCCTCCGAATAGGAAGATGTGGTCCGATGACACAGGAGTGAAGGAGTGCCAGGACCGGCCCACGGGACACTGCTGGGGAACGTTCCTGCAGGACGGACAGGGGAGTCAGTCGGGAATATTTGAACAAGATTGAGAGAATTGAGAGAATCCTGGAAGGTAGAGGATGCGTTATAACCTAGTTACCTACAGTCTGTGGTTATAACACACAATAATAGGCCAATTATGAGTATTAGGGCTAAGCATAAGAGTAAAAAGAGGACGTTTTGTTTTTCAAGAATAAAGTCAAAGTGTTATTTTAAGAGTATTAAGTCAAACTACATTACACAAATGTTTCGATTTTTCTTGACATGTACAATGCCAAATTAACAATTTTCCACTTTATTCTCAAGTGCAAAAGGAAAAACAATCTTCCTCCTTATTTTTTCCCTCAAATACTCTTCTGTATGATTCCCCTGCAGACTCTCTTTATAATTCAAAGTCAAGTTTATTACAACTGGACAAACCTGCAGGTCCCATGGGCTTGTAATAAAAACCTGTTTTCAAATTCAAGCTAATTATTTACACTTGAACGTGAATTATCAGACCATCAAATGGGAGCTGAGTTGACTGGAAACAACAACACCACCTGAAACATGACTCTTCAGGTGCCAGACACAAATCACAGCAGATACAGTGATGGACAGCACTCACATTTCATGCCACTCCCACGTGTCCAGATCAATGTAGTACAGGTCGTTTAGTCGGTAGTTCTGTTAAACAAAGAAAATAATGACAAATATATCCATGTGTTGCATTTGGCAAACATGTAAACCTGTGACCCCTGAAAACAATATTGTGTTGTTGACGGAGATTATTTACCTTGAATCTTCCCCCGAACACATAACCTCTGTTCCCAACTGTGGCACAGGCATGAGCTGCTCTGGGTGATGGAGTGTTCCCCTACATCAGGCAGGAGAGGAAAAGAATCATGTCAAATATTTTGCTCTGGTAAATACTCAAAGGATGTCACATATTTCTGAAATAATGAAAAAAGTGAATGTGGAGGGGTCACGACCTGAACCATGGTGTGTAACGCTGCTGGTATGTTCTTTACCGTGGTTATGGGCTGACTCCATGTCGATGTCTCCAGGTCCAAGATATGAATGTGATTGTTCCAACCTCGCCCGGGGCTGTCCCACTGCAGCAAACATACACAGGTGAATATTGGAAATGTTCTTTGTGTTTTACAGAATTTCAGGATATACACAAATTAAACAATGTTCATTGTTCAGTGGGACAAGTATCTAAAGTTTCTACAAACCACGAGAGAAGACGATTCATCGTATTCAAACGTCCCTCGATGAGGTCCCTGTACGACGTAGCCATAGCCCCCAAAGAATATGAGCCTGTTAAAGCAATGAACAACCGAGTGTAAAATATCACTTCAAAAAAGACCCGCTGGGCACAAGAACAGGTTTTGAAGCATGTCAGGAATTTCACCTATTTCTGAATTTTTGTGGCAAAAAGACACGGAGACCAATCTGATGTGTCCTGGCCCTCCTGCTGATCTACTTCTAGTGGAGGCTTGAAGATTTTCCTTTCTTTAGTAAAACACATTTAAAATAATATTTTGTGTCTAAGCTTTCATTTCCTCACCAATGTTGTAATTAGCCGTGTAATTAAAATGGAGCAAAACAAGGATCTTGAAGTTTCCTGCTGGGGATCTGGGAGCAACTTTCTAAGATTCATCCCTCCGTAACATTAATACCTGGAACTTGAATATTGCAATTTGAATAAGCTGTTTATCACCATGTTTCACATCAGAACCCTGAGAAGAAAAAAAACGCAGTCCTCCTTCACCTGTTCTTCTGAACCCAGCAGCCTAACTTGTCCTTGGACGACGGAGGGAAGCCTTTAAGATCGGCCATTTCCTCCCACACAAGACTGGGAGCTCTCAGGGGCAGGCGGTAGATCTATGAAGAAACAGTGACTGACATGTTTCAGGCTCTGATGAGCAAGCATGACGCAGATCTTTGAAAAAAAACACACAAACTGTTGTACCCTGTTTGTGTTTCCCCTGGCATGATGACCCCCAAACAGGTAGAGGACTCCATCGACACACACCCCGCAGCTGCCTGACATGGACGTGTGTAGGTTACCTCCAGCGACATGCTTTGTCCTGTGAACATAAGTTGTTTTGTTAAGTTTGACTCCTTCAAGTCTAAATTCAGTGCTGATAAACTACGGTAGTAATATGCAATGTATATGTTAATACTCACCATACACCTGACTCCATGTTGTACGTCCAGATTTCACTTCTCGGCAGATACAAGTCAAAGAATCCATGGTTTTGGGCATTCTATGGGGGGGGTATTTGAAAATAAGGTTTAAAACATGTTTTTACAGACATATGTGAGACTTGAATAAATAAATGTAATGGAGTGGAGTTTTAGGACAGGTCTCACCTTGTATCCACCCCACACGTACATGACATTTCTGTCCACAACTGCTATGTGACCACTGCGCTCAGCCGGTGTGTCCAGCTCAAACGACTCAGACGCCTCTGTGTCTAAGGGCTGTTCGTCCTCCACCTCCTCCACCTCGTCTTCCTCCTCCTCCTCCTCCTCGTCCTCATCCATGTCGTCATTGACCATCCAAGCGAACAGCCTGTCATCTTCATCTCTGTCTGAATCGTTGTCATCCTCCCTGGCTGGCAGATCCCCAACGTCTTCCTCCATCTCTGCCATGTCACTCTCTCCTGTCTCCTCCTGCCTGTCCAGGCAGAGAGAGCCGAGAAATCATGAAGTTAGTGCTGATGGGATTTATTTAGTAGAAGATTCGTTTAAGCAATAAACTAAAAACAGGCTAACATAACAACATTCAAAACACCGGAAGTGACGGTCCCAGCTAAGACAACAGGACACATTAGCACAGTATTGTTTATGTCTCTGTGATGAGCAGATTCTCATGGAGTGAAACCTAAAACACTTCAGTCCACTTCACTTTCGTTTCAGTGAATTCAGGCCCAGACACGTTAGCATAGCTCGCAGCACGATTACTGCTGATCTAGTTTGCTTACTGAACTGTTCCTGCGGTTAGCTTAGCATCTGCATCTAAAAGAAGCGAACTGAAGATTTAGCAACGCAAATATATCTGATTATAAAGCCTTGAATCACTTAGCTTCTCCCCGAGCTAGCATAAGTGAATGTGCCCACTAGCTCCAGAGCTTTTGCAAACTTGTAAACAAAACAGCGACTCGGAGGAAGACGCGTGAATTCCCACTCGACACGTCGGTGACTCGGATCACAGACGTGGACGTGAAGCCACGAGGAAAACATGTTCGTACCTGTCGTTATTTCAACTCGTCAGATGTTTGTTTGCTGCAAAATTCAAAAGTAGTTCGCCATTCGTGTGAGGTCATCACAAGAATTCTGGGGGCACGACCGGAAACTGGAGACTTGTCACATCCGCCATCTTGATAAGGTCAAATTTAAAGCGGTACGCACCAATTTCCACTTCCTGCCTGGTGGTTGTAAACAATAAAACCTGAACTTTTGCACGTACACGTGTCTGTGTGCCACATACACTTAAATAATCCATAAAGAATCCCAAGCAATTTAAAAATAAAAGTCTTCTTAAGCTGAAAGGTAAACTTAACTTCATTATCAAGTTTGGAAAGAGAAATACCCCATTTCTTGCAGATGTCAAGAATTTGAATTAATAATATCCTTATTTCACAAAAACTTTATTCTGAGTGTAATTCTGTCCCCAAAAAATCCAGTCTACCTTGAGCAAATTGCACAATGCTGTCAAAACTATTTTTTTGTGGCCAATAAAGTGCATAGGTCTTTATATTTCTACACGGTTTTCTATTTCTATATTTAGCTCAGCTCAAGCACACCAAATTCCTTGTATGTGTAAACCTTCTGATAAAGTGCATTTTCAAATCAGAGCCGATTGTTGTGCCAACAGAAAGATGTCACCGTTTTCAGTATCAAGAGTAAAATCTTTATTTTGCATGACGATACACATACATACAGAAATCATACACGCTTAAAAAAAACCAATGGGTTATTACTAGTCCATTTAAACACACAGTATCATACAAAGACAATGTACAAAGACGAATGAAAACAGCAGCACTTGTGGATCCATGATTTTCTTTAGAGCCCTTGAAGTTTGCTGTAACAGATAAGTGAGTACATTAGTGAATGTTGAAAACACAGTTATCTGTAGTGAATGATGTGAAAATTTAAATTTAAGGAGAACGTACCTGTCCTCAACGGTTTTGTTGGATGGGTAGTACACCTTAAATGTGAAGCCACTTCTCGGGAATGAGCCCTGTCAAAATCACACATTGGTATCAAAACATGTAAGTGAGGCTTATTGGCTGTAGGAACAAAATTATATAAATTAAATCACTAACACTTGTAAAAAAAACAATCTATCCGCTAAACTCATTTAAAGTACATTTGTTTCATACCGGGTTGACGCAGAGGCAGTCTGTGTTAGTGATGCTGAAGGGGTCGTATTTGTCTGCGAAGACGATGACGTCAGGGACCGGATAGACACGCAGGGAATAGTCATACGCCCAGAACACAGGACTGACATACAGAGGCAGTGGAGTCAGGTGACCCTGAGATAGGATGGTCTTAACAAACTAAAGAGAGAGGAAAAAGAATCACAATTCATATAAACGACAAGAACTGACGTGTTCGGAAATCTTTGCAGCAACCACTCATTGCTCCGAGAACACTTAGAGAGAATTGCTGACTTTTGAACACTGTGTATGAAGGGAAATAAGACTTATATTTGTCCCTGTGTGTGTGTACAAGTCAGAAATGTCACTAAGTAAGAAGAGATCTGTTTGAGAAGCTGAAACTCACATGGTTTGGAATGTCAAGGTTGTTGTTGGGCAACCTCACACAGTTCCTGCACATCTTATTGACCAGGTCTTCTCTGATAATGACGATCTCCTGGCTGCAGTACTGGATCCTGACAGGAAAAACACAACATGACAATGAGGAACATTTCTCGTAAAGGCCTTACATATCAAAGTATGTTACTTGTAAAATGACTGATTGTCTTCAACAATTCAAACCCTGATCAGACAACATGTCCACATGTGATAATAGTCACATATTGGTTTCACCTGCATGGGTTAGTTGTGAACACTGAAAACGGCACCCTCTCTTTGAACTCGTCTGTGATGTGGTCTGCCAAGGGAGGCCTGTGGGAAACAAATTCATGGTATTCACATTTATCCCAAAATAATGTACACGTCTCACATCATCATGTCAAATACCAGATGTCTGTGTTTACCTGGGCAGGATGGTGCCTGGACCAGGGTCTTCAGGACCAGGAACAAACACAAAGCGACTTCTGCAGGTTTAGGATGAACAGACTTCAGTCAAACGTTTGGAAACTAGAATAGTTAACAATACAACAGAGTATAAATCTCATCTTACCTGCTGTGAATGCTGGGGTAGGAACATATGGTATCAGCGAGAGCTTTCAGTGACTCTAAAAATAGAAAAATAATGAAATTATGAAACGTGGTAATGTTTCCCTTATTTACACAAACAGATCTTAATAAGTACAATAGATTATGAGCGGTGAGTTTCACCTTTGAGTGACTTGATCTGTGTTTTTCCATATGGAGCAGAAGAAAAGTTCCCACACAAAATAAAACATGTAGGAGGCATTGCCGCATAGCCTGAAATAAACAAAGTAAATATTAATGCGACTGGCTTCTCATGGATGTATTCTCAGAAGTTTATGACTATGGTGCAATAGCAGACCTGAGAACATGAGGTTGAGCTTTTCCATCACTTCAACGCTGTCCAGCCACACGTCAGAAACAATTACCAACATGGCATCCTCATTCTCCTCCTCCAGCTGCTTCAGCTTGGCAGAAGCCTTCACCGATGTGGTGGATGGACCCCCGAAGAAGTTAATGTTGCCATAGTACGCCCTGGAGATGAAGCAAGGATCATGTGATGAGAGAACAACAACAAACTCATGTGTCATTGCAGGATTCACCTTAAGATATTGAACTATCCAACCTAATACTAAACTTGAAATACAAATAATTTATTTAATGAAATCATCATACTGTAACTAAAGACAGTTTCCATACTCAGCTATTGAAAGATATTTGCTAGGTTAAGCCACTGGTTTACAACAGGAACAAAGGATCAAATACTTCAGAGACAATTTCACTGCAAACCAAACAACAGAAATCAAATTACTTCACAGCCTCTGACTCACCCCGTTATCTAACATGAGACTGGATCAATCCCCACAGACCGCTCACTACTTCAACCTCCAATGAGTTTGCCTCAACACTTATCTTCAAACCCACTGACCTTGTGGCTGATGATGGCTCTGTTGGCGGAAACCCAAAACCATTGATGTGGAAAACCGAGTCCTCGTACCAACCTTCACCAAGAAAAGGCAAAAAACGTCTAATAAGATATGTCACATGACATTTCATTGTTTTCATCTAAATGCATATTTTGTCTTAAATAACAAGGAGTAGTTTTCTTACCCTCTGCCAGCACAAAGCAGGATTCTGTGTACAGGCCATTATGAAACTGGTGAGAATGTCATTAAGGAATTCATCCATTTTAAAAGCCACAAATAAAAAGAGAATATAAACCAGTTATTATTGACAGGCTGAAACAACCAGGTTAAAGGATATTGCTTTGGACATGTCCAGCTGCACTGTTCCACTTGGGTCCTCCAGGTAGAATTTACCCTAAAAAATATTTTAGACACTCAATTTTTTTAAAGATCGGACAGACAGGAAAATTCAGAATTTCATCAAGGAGCTAGAAGAAGTTAAAGACATTTTTCTCTGTGTGAACTTAAACAGAAATGTATAAACTTATCTAACTCACCTCTTTCAGTTGTGTGATCATCCCAAGTACAATCACCTCTCCGAGTTTAGCTGTGCTACCGAGCAATGCTTCAATTGTCTTCAGCTAAAGACAAATCACAGCAAAACAACCTGTAAGTGGAATTATTTTCCCTCAAAAGTGAGGATGATGATTAAAATGATGATTATTTGATACCTGAAATTTGTTTTGACCCTCCTCAACAGCAGCTCCGATCGCAGGTGGGGTGAAGAGCTCGTGCCGATGTGTACGCTACAAAAAATATGTCTTATTTAATACAACATACAAACTGCACAGATTGTAAATAGCAGCGAGAGCAGCCAGGGAAGCCCATCATCACTGACCTGTTGTAATATTGTGTAGCGCTCCCTGAAGAGTTCAGCTTTGTCTTTGGCCACGCCACATAGACTGGGGGTTGGATGTCTGGTCATACTGATACTGAATGGAAGAACAGAATAAAAAAAGATGATAAAGCTTTTAAAACTTCGCTTGGAGTAATATTTAAAAAATGACAGAAGCTGCCCCTTTACTCACGGTACAAATTTCTTCCTCTCCACATTGTAAATGTATCTGGGCACATGGAAGGCTCCAATGATGTTGAAGACATTATCTCTGGAAGACAGTATCATAAGATTTTCTCTACAGCCCAATAAAGGTGATTACACGACTACAAATAATTATTAGTCAAGAGACTGAAACGTACGTTATGTGATGGTTACATAAAACACTTAATGTGCCACATTTATGCATGTTTTCAGATTCATTTTTAAAAGTGGATATTAGAGCATACGACTACTATTTTGATTGACAACATACTGTAACTTACACCAGAATAAAATCATTGAAAATATAGACATCAAATAATATACCACATGAAACATTAATTGGTTGTTGCCCCACTTACATGTTTTCATCACAAGACTGAGTGCAGTCCTGCACGGCAATTTCCACCACAGGCCGTTCTATCATACTAGAGGACACTGTTGGGAAACACACACTGTAGTCACAACATGAACACTGCAGTTAAAACACACGATCACATATTGTGCACACGTACTGCAGCATTAAACACACTGTGATCTGTGGAGACTGTATTTCTTTACTGTACATACATGGCTGCTTCTCCACTGCATCCAGGACCCTTTCAATAACATCATCCAGCTCAGAAGGATCGACGGACTCCAGCACCTCGACGAAGTATTTGCTGGCGTCACTGGTGCAAGAAAACATGGACATGTTATTAGTTCTTTTGACTGATGCTAAAAAACTACAGACTATTACAACACTTCAAGAAAATGTGTGTTTGCTTCTGTAAACTTGTGAACAATACACGTGTACTGAAACAGGTGACAGGAGATACAGTTATTTACATTAAGTTGATGGAGACATAACACTGCTTATAATGCAGTTATAGAATATGTATAATTCTGCTGAAGTATATTGTGATGTTCATGTCTTTATCTGTATTTACTTGCATTTAATATAGTGACACTAAGAAGTTAATCGTCCTCTTCCACCATTGAAACCATCTGACGTTGAAGTGAAAATGCTCAAATCAGCTTCTGTGTTAGCTGAGGTGAAATTGATGGGAGCTACTTTAAACATCAGGGGTTGAAACTCGTTTAATTTAACACAGTTAAGTGTCAAGTCCTTGTCATCGCAAAGTATCGCCCCGCGTTCTTCCAGCTTTAACTTTCAGTGTAATACCTTTAAACAACATTTAAACATTACTATAATACATACGGTCGCAGCATGAGTCCCCGCATCTTGAAGCCAGCGGACACTTTGGTCTTTATTTTCCGAGCAACATCCATTTCTGTTTGTGTCTCTATGTCCGACTCAAGCTTTGGCGCTAAATGGCTACTTCCGCGTGTATTTCATCACTTCCGCTGAAGACTCGAGGAAAAACAGCAACAATAATAATCCTCGTTATCATCTAATTTATACATACATAGCACTTTAAAGTAAAATTTAATTTAATAAATAAATAAACAGTATGATTATAAATAAAGAATCTGATAAGATATGATATGTTCATTAGGTTTTTTTTTCTTAATAAATGTGTTTTTTAAATTTACCTCAAACTAACACACACAAAGAACCAAGGATTTTAATTCTGCCATACTTGTTTGTTTGTGGACAAAAAGATTGAACTGCCTTGTGTAATCTGCTGGATGCACTGAAGTTAAAGGGAAGTTGGAAGGAACATGAAACCCAGTCTGCAGTTACAAATGGTCAGAGGCTCTTGAAGGTACAACCAGGTTTTATTGACCCTGGGTCCCCTGACAGGTTGATCCAGTCCTGCAGTTTCCTGTTTGTCCCTGTGTGTATCATGCTGTTCCCAGTTGTAGACTATTGTATAGACAATGCTCTCTTGAGCTGGAACAATACACTTCATACAAGTACTCTTATCCATTTTAACCAGTGTTTTACACTACTGTGTATTTGACACCGAAAGAACTGATTAGTATTTGCCATCATTGGACCTAATTATTTAAACCTCAGCCAATGTATTTCATTTTGTCAATTCTTTTTAAATTTTAGAACAAACACACAGTTTCAGTCTATTAATAAAGACATCATACAAATGTTGACCTGTATTAAATATGTAGTATATAATATACACTCAATATAATGAAGTCCAGCACAACACCACCTTAATAATAAACATATCAATTAATTTACACAATTCTGACAAAAACCCAACTTGGTTTATAAAGTTGATGTCAGGGCTTGATTAGTTTGCATTAGATTGAAAAGGTGTAACTAATACAGTGGTCACTGAGTGTAACTACATGATAATGAACCATATTATAACAAGACACTTTCCATTTTGTGTGAAGAGCATGTACCTAAAATAAAAAGGTTACTTTACAGCCATGATGCTGGTCTGATTTAATATAACGTTACATTTTACAGCCAAAAAGCCATAATGAGAGAAAGAGGTACCAAACCAAAAGGAAACACACATATAAGATGACTATTTTTAAATAAATAGAGTCTGTAGTTTGACCATTTGTGTGAACACCACGTGGTGAAAACCAAACAGCTGTTCCCTCATGTACAGACCTGACTGATGTTTGACCATTCCCCACAGACTGTGTTAAAACAAACAAAAACATATGGGGTTTTTCACGATTGTTTGATATGTTGGATCTAATTTAACTGAACTATTTAGCCTAATCATATTTAAATTGACACCAACGCTTATGACTCATGCTGTTAATAAACACAGCATTCAGTGGGGTTTTATTTTGAAACATAAAGAACCGGAAGTGTATTTTCGGGTCACTTCGGCAGCTTCACGTCAGGAGGAGCGACGTCCTGCTGGTTTCACGTCAAATGGACGTTTTAGTTTTCACAACATAGGAAGAAGCTCGGAGGGACTGAGCATCGTCCTGTGGTCTGTGAGTGGGTTTGGTTTGGTTGATTTCTGCACAAATGTTTCAGTGTTGAAACCTCAGATCAGCGTCACGATACGAACACAGACTGAAAAACATGCAGCAGGAACACTAACCCCCAACTACATGCATGTTGGATTTCACATGTGACATGTTTAGTTTCTTCTGGATCATCTCAACCTCGAGGACACGTCTCCGTCTTCTCTTTTCTTCTTACAGTCATGGATCCAGAGTTCGAGACCCACTGCTCCGAGCTGGTGGCCCGAGAGAGGAGCGGACATACGGCTGTGGTGGAGGACAACCTGCTGTATGTGTGGGGGGGCTACGTGGTGAGAAAAACACACAGACAGACAATAACGAAACGGACAGACAGACAGACCATACACAGACAGACAGAC